ACAAACTTTGTAATACACTTAATTTCCACAGTCACTTTAACTTCAACACACGCTATAATTCACAACGATTCTCGCACTTTATTTACGTCACTACCGCTCACTTGACTCGATTATCTGTCTCTATATCTCCCTGTCTGCTATTGATTATTCCGCTTTATTTGCCGGTCTTATATATACAAAATAGAGGGCGTCTGACAAACACTCGAGCCTTCATGATCCTTCTAGAAACTCATCACGTGTTACCAGCGACACATGACTTCTGCTGTCGTAACATTATAGTAGCATTTTCCCGAACATTCAAAGAGCTTGTTGTAAGTATGATAATAATAAAGAAACAAAATCCCGATTCAACTAGTCGAGCGCTATAATCACTATGATTCCTAGTCTTTGTAATCGAATATTGACAAATAATTAAAAATATCTAATATTATGATATCTCTCTCTAAACATGGTGAATTAAAATTAAAAAGTTATAAAAAATCTCCTACTCGACTGGGATTTGAACTCGATACTCCCGCTTGTGACAAACCACTGAGGCAATTTGAAGTTGCCAATTACCAACAGAGAGTCAAACGTTACCAACAAAGGGGGTATAATGAACAGAGAGTAGCTTTTATATTGATTGTGTAAATCGTAAGTTCGTGATTACCTATATTTTCGTTTTTGTCGTTGTCGGTCAGTCAGTTAATCAAGGTCATCATCGGTTTTAGGTCTTGACCTTTCGGGGGGGGGGATCTCAGGTGCAGTTTTGACCTCTTCCCCCTCTTGTGTAGATGTTAGTTAATGTTCCCATGATTTCGCATCTGTAAAATTTATTTTATATTTACAAGAGCGTCGGAATTAGCATTCTTTTGAATTACTCCACCCGACCCCTTTCATAGGGCCATGTCCATGTATGATACACTGTTAACGTTTGTACGTTAATAACACTTCACCGACACAAGGTCTGTGCGATAGTCCTCCACACTCACTGACAGTCCCATTGTTAATCGTGCACTTTTCACTAATTAGCCTACTAAGAGTGTTTTTACATAAATACCCTTTAATACACTCATAATATTTCATTCTAATTATACACTATTAAGCCCCCCCCCCCCAGTGGTACAGCGGTATGTCTGCTAACTTACAATGCTAGAAACCGGGTTTCGATACCCGTTGTGGGCAGAGCACAGACAGCCCATTGTGTAGCTTTGTGCATAATTACAAACAAACAATACGCTGTAAATACTAGCCGTAGGTGGCTTATTTATTATAGTTAATGTAGCTATTTAATGGGAAGAGGTACTTAGGTACTATGCGCTCTAAAATCTTTCATACATAGCTGGTCAACGATGGTTCAGCAAATTTTGTTCAGGTGACTTTAGCCGTAAAAACTGTGATGGCAGGGGCCGACATGTTGGAACTGATATTGATGATCTGAAGACGCTTGTTGAGTCTAACCCTGAAATTGCATGTCTCTAAGGAAT